GGACAACTTGCAGAAAACACGTATAGTAAAAAGTAAATCAAATGTTATACTGTTAGGCGGTTTTATACACATTATTTAACTAACCTTAAAAATTGTAGCTCTAGTGAAAGACTTTGAAAAGAACTGAAAATAAAGTGGAGTACTAAGTAGACTGAGAATCCTACCAAGCAAATAGAAAAAAGCATGGAAGGACTTACTCCCGCCCAACTACAATAGTTAATAGTTCTGGGAAGGGTTTTGCATCAGGAAAAGGTAAAGGAGGCTTTCAGTGAATCAGCTAATTTTTGAATTTGTGGTAAGAGTGCCTTTACTGTACAACTAAAAGGCTTAAAAAAGAAGTGCAGAAAATCACCCTTTTTGTTCCCGCTAAGAACAAAGAGAGATGGAACCACCTGATAGTCAGATCTTAGCTGTTCACTGGAAAATGTCCACTAAGTTTTATGCAGATGAGCTGAGAGCCTTAGTCTCCTCTCAGACTAAAATTTAACTGATTTAGGAGCTGAGGACAGTTTATCTGCCCCATTCTCTCTATATAATCATGGTTCAGTTACTTTGCTTCTGTTTTGTGTGTGTGTGACTTTTGTATGCAAAAAAGATTATTTTGGCTTTGGAGATGAATATTCAACTTAATAAACATACAAATGCTAATATCTACTTCTTTTTTAAGTTTTCAGTTCAATTTACAAAACTTCATTTTTTCCAATCTAGCAGCTTTTAAGGGTACAGTTAATTCACATCTGATCCCATATACAAAAGGAGTTAAATAGTTTCAAACCTTATAAGATGCATTTTAAAATTGAATATGTCCAGAACTTTGTAAGTTCTGGAGTTTTCTGATTATGGATCTTGCCAATAATTTAAATCTGATAAATTATAAATAGGGTGATTTTTAAGTTTATATGTTTGTATTTTCATACACTGTTAATAGACTTCCTAAAACTTCAGATTAAAATAAGTTTAAATCAGTCAGTTACTCAATTACACATTTGAAACTGAACCATCAGGCTGATCTGTTCTTTTTTTTTTTTTTTTTTTGGACCTGTTAGTTCTAATAGGTCAATATTCTAAAACAATAAATACTCAGATACTCAATGTATCAGATATACACAGAATCTTTGTCTCCTGAAGATTAGTATTCAACATCTGAATCTTGTTAAATACATACTTCTAAGTCTAGTTCTAAATCTTCCTGAGGTTAAAAGATGTTAAGTTTCTTGCAGAGCAGTTTGGGGGTAACTTCTCAAGCATTTTGATGCTCCTTTCTCAGCTGGCCGAGGTATCTTAATAACCAGAGAGGTGCCTGGCTCCTGGCGAGGTTCTGGCTGGAAACCTAGCTGCCAGGCAGGGGCCTGACTTATAGTTGCTATGACAGTCTCCTCAGATGGGATGTCTCATAGCCTTGCTTATTTCTTCCTTCTTCCGTCCTTCCTTTCTTTCTTCCTTTCTCCCCCGGCCCTCCCTCTGGCCTTCCCTCCCTTTCTCCCTCCCTTCCTTCTCTCCTTTTCTCCTAGTTTTACTGAGTTATAATTTACATACAGCACTGTATACATTTAAGGTGTACAATATAAGGATCTGACTCACATACATCATGAAGTGATTATCACAATAAGTTTAGTGAACATCCATCATTTCATATAGAGACAAAATTAAGGAAATAGAAATTTTTTTTCCTTGTGACGAGAACTCTTAGGATTTACTCTCTTAACAACGTTTGTAT